ACCCCAGCACCGGACCCCGTGGAGCCCCGAGGGCCATGCCTACCGCACCACAAGTGCAGGGAGCCCTGGGAGGCCAGCAGCCCCAGTCCCCTCTGTAAGCCCCTTCCCCCTCGCCCTGTTAATCCAGCTCAGCTGAGGATGCCGAGGTCAGGCTCTGGCATGGAGAACCGGCTTCTTAAAGGGGAAGGTGTGCTCGCACCCGCCCCACTGGGAGCCCGTCCCGCCGGGAACCCTGCTTTCGGGTGTACAGAGCGGCTATTGGTTTGCCTGCTGCCTCCAGGCTCCCCACTGGTGCAGGGCAGCACTGAAGGGGCTGTGTCAGGGAGCCTGGGCTGAATGTGTCCCTCCTTCCCTTGCATGTCCCTGGCACTGGGCGCTTGAGGCCTGCCACCTGCATTCCCGCTGCCCCTTAATGCCTCAGTGCCCGTCTCCATCCCTAAGCAGGGGAGAAAGGGACCATTGTTCAGGGGCTTTGGGGAAAGAGCATGGGCACTGGGGAGCTCTGCAGGGCTGGAGGAGGAGGAAAGGCTGCCTCTGCCTCCGGGCACCATGGGTGGCTGGAGGAAAGGGACTACAGCCTGCACCCACGTCTCCCTTGTTCCAGGCAAGCCCTGGGGCACGGGTGCTCCTGGGCCTCTGGAGCCACGCACGGGCAGGCTGCTCCGGCACCGGTAGTGGTTTCCCTCCAGCTGCTGAAGCCACAGTCCTTCGTCTGCCCTCCCAGAGACAAGCACATGTACACAGCGCTCTGTTCAAGCTAAAATTTATTCCTGCACGAGTCTCCCTTGTATGAGACACTTCCCACCCATCTTGCTTACACAGTAAACAAGCCACCTGCCAAGCAGCAACGCTGCCTCAGTCCGGTACCTGCCGCGGGCAGCCCCTCCATCCTGGCTTGCCCTCTCCCAGGCCCCGCCGGGATGCCCCGGGCTGGGTGGGATGCTCATGGTGCGAGAGTGCTCAGCCTGTGCCCGCAGGGCCAGTGAGGGCGAAGCAGGACGGGTTGCTGGGTTGGACATAGCTGCCTTGCGGGCTGAGGCTGGGATCGTGCTGGGTCGGGCCCATGTCTCCTCCCATTGCACCTCAGGCAAGGCAGGACGGGGAGGAGAATAAATTAAAGAAAAGGCTAAAAAGGCCATTGGCGTTTGCTAGCTGGAGGACAGAGCAGCAGGGTGGGTGAGGACGCGCATCCCCGGGCACGCAGGGGGGCTCCTGATCGCAGGGAGAAGAAAGCCCCAATTGCAGATGGTCCCGGAAAGCCACTGTCCTTCCCTGCCTCTCTGCAGGACGGACATTCCTGTGCAACTCCAATGGCCTCCTGCTCCCCTAAATGGTTTAAGGCACCGTCGTATGAGGAGGCAGGCAAAAACCTACCCAAAGCTTCCCTCGGCGCAAGTCCCCGGAGAGCCAGGAAGGAGCGGGGTGCTCCAGGTTGAGCAAAGTCCACTATAAATACATATAAATTCCACAAAATGTTTTCCTCCCTCCTGTCCGTGAGTCTGGGCCTGAACTCAGGCTGCTTTGAGGACTGGTGCATGGGGCAGCTGGTGGGGATGTGCTGCCTGAGACAGGATGGAGGCAACTGAAGCGCCGGGGTCCTTTGCCTGGAGGTTCGGAAGTGCTGGGAGGAGGCCGGGAGCAGTTCACGAATCCTCTGGGATGATCAAGCAGAATGGGAGTGCCAAGAGGCCAGGAGGGATGTGGGAGACTCTCCTGGATCTGCTGCTCTGGGTGCTCCCCCAGGGGAGCAGACGTCCTGGCTGAGTCAATGGGGCAGGCAGCCCCACGCTCACAGAGTCCCTTGCTCAGTATTTTTATTACACACCAACAAAAAAAAAAAAAGAAAGAAATTAAAACGTACCCCAGGGTAAAACCCAAATCCA